GGAGTTTGACGAATATTAAAGAAGGAATTAGGAAAATTTGGGGGCTCGTCTTATTTCTAGGTCCTGGGAGATATTCTGTAAGTCTAAGGGTAGAAAAGAAGTACAATTTGCCGAAGATATTCACATTAAATGGAATAGTACTTACAAGTTGATAGCACAGATCCTAAGCTATAAAGCGGAACTTGCTGAATTTTTTAGGGATGAACTTCGTATAATAATTTCACCTTTTGAATTTGTTATTGTTGAAAAATTGAATGCCGTATTAGAAGTTTTTAATAACGCAACTCTTACTTTTTCACATGTTTACCAACCAACTACAAATACATTTTTTAAAGAGTGCGTTACAATCGCAACATGTTTTCGTGAAAGTATGGCTGATGAAGATTTGTTGCCTTATGTCCGTCCTATGAGAGATAAATGGTGTGCTTATTATTTGTACATTCCTGATATTTAAGATTGAAAATTTTAAAATTCTAATTGACTATTACTACACTTGTTTTTTAGATGAAAATAGTTATTACTACAGCCATTTAATAGAATGGAAAAATGAAAGAGATAATGTTATAACTCTTTTTGAGAATTTGTTTAAGAAATATCAAGGGTTATACAGTACTGTACTAGAAGAAATAGCACCACCTCCGCCCCCCAAATCAAAAAAAGGTTTTAAAGGAAGAGTCAGTGGGCTTCTTGCAAAGAAAGGGAAGCGTGCTCAGCCTTCGACGAGTTCAAGTGGTACAACAGTAAGCTCGCACAACGAACTTGCTATGTACCAAGGGGTGCCATGCGATTACGACGACGACGACGTGGAGTTTGACGTCCTCAGATGGTGGAAGCGGAACGAACACATGGTCCCATGCCATGTCTCGGAATGCTAGCAAGACAAGTGTTGTCTGTCCCGGTATCAACCGTAGCAGTTGAACGAGAATTCAGTGCTGGCGGCAACATTCTAACCGACTACCGAAGTTGTCTTAATACTGAATCTCTTGAAACACTTGTTTGCAACCAAGATTGGCTCTTGGCAAGACGTCGAGCTCAAGAATCATCGTACCAACTCGATTCGGAGCATTACATGAATGTAATTATGTAATTAGTTTTTTTTAGGTGAGCGATATATAAGCTCCTTCGAGGGTTTCTTTACGGTTCTTTACCTCGTCGCTTTTTTTGAACCGTCGGGATATTAAATGTAGTTGTTCTTCAGTTCGTGTATTACGTATTTTACAATATTTAAATAACAACTACATTTTTAGATTTTTTATTTCATTCTTTTTTCTTTAACAATTGCAAATTTACAATTTTACACTTTAAAAATTTAAAAAAAAAAGAAAAAAATAAATTTGGGGTGGCCGAAATCAGCCGGTCCGGGAACCGGAACCGGTAACGGCCGGTCCGGTCACGGTACCGGTACCAAGGAGTGGCGATACCGGAACCGGCGGTTCCGGAACCGGAACCATCCCGGAATCGTACCGTATCCACCCCTAAATCCAAGGACTGGCAAGGAGTGTAATTTTCATTTTAAATTAATCTTTTCATTTTTTTTCTACTTAAAAAAATGTAATTATTGAATCGAGATTATAAATGAGAAAAAGATTAATGTGGACCATATATTTCATTCTTTTCAAAGGATAAGAAGTTTATTTTAAAATAATTCAAAAAAAAAAGAAAAAAGAGAAAAGATTAAAACAAGAAAAGGGATCCCAATTTAAAACAAGAAAACTTGGTGGCATTAACTGAAGTCTCAAATTTAGCCTCAATTTGACTTTCGTTGACCAAGATCACCCTGCCACCCGCCTTCATCAACCTCTCTAGCGTTTCCGGACTTGACCCCGACGGCGGCGGCGGCGATATTTCCCCTCCGCTCAGCTCCGTTCTCTGGCTCCGATTCAACGCCTCCTCCCGGTCTTCTTCTTCTTCTTCCACAGATCCCAGCAGCGGTTTATCACGCTGACCCTTCGCGCCCGCTGCCGGAAGTTCAAATTCTTCGCCGCCGGGAGTCAATATTCCGTCCAGAATCTCCGATCCCTTGAGGACGTACTCCTCATCGGAAGTCGGGTGTATGAAATCGTCCTCCGCCAAATCTTGCCACACAAACCCCTTCTTGTATCTCCTAACAGCCCAAACAATCCTCTCTCAGATTCGATTTCACAGTAATTTGCAGGGAAAATAAAAAAAAAGATTTAAAACCCAGAAATTCCAGCAAAAGAATTTAACCTTTTGGCAGACCATGAATACAGTGACGCCATTCCCTTTCCCCGCAGTGAATTCAAGCGATAAATCACATCTGAGTAGAAAACACTAAAAGTATTCAGTAATTCTTTTAATCAATTATTCACATTTTGTTTAATTTTAAATCTCTCTTACCTCTGAGATAGAGACCTCGAGAGGACGAGAACAGGACCTCCATGAAATGGGGGTGCTGGAGGTGGCCATTTCGAGAGAGGTAGTAGACCACGGCGGCTCTCCGGCGCGGCGGCTCCGGGCTGAGGTCTGGGTCTTTCCATTTCTTCGATATAATGTGGAGATCGGTTCGCCTTTCCGATCTCGCCGCCATTGTTGTGCTCCAAGAGCTTCAAGGACGAACATTCATTTTTTATTTCTTCCAAATCTATAAAGAAGTTAAAAAGTAGGTGACTGTGTTGCAAGAAAATTGTCTTCTTGAACAGAATGCAATTGTTCAAAAAGTTCCGAATAAAGAATATGTACTGTTGTGGAGGCATGATTGTTACTCCCAATTTGTTACCAATAATTTGGACAATTTGTTCTGGATTTGTTTGAACGCTTGAAAATATTGGTTGTGAATTTTAGACTTGAGTGGGTCTGGAGGAGATGATTCTAATTTTGGTAGTGTAGAATGAGAGTCATTGTTTATTAGGGGGTTTTGTTGACTAAATAATTCCAATTTTCATCTTAAGTTTATTTTAAAAGTTATTAATTTTTCCATACATGTAATTGTATTTGATGGTAATTATTTCTTTCAAACTATGTTATTTTGTTGATTTTTTCTCCTTCAACTTGAAGTCTATTGTCTAATACTTTTTTCATCCTAGTGAACTTATTTAGTTCGAATATTTCGAATCAAACTTGGTAGGTCGGACTAACTACTTTGTCAGAACACTCTTTCCTACTTGGAACCCTGGTAGTCAAACTCGGGAGTTGACTCGTACGAGTCTACGAGTCTGAGGATCGTCGGGAGCTTCTCGATCCGGTGCGGCAGCAGAATCGCGTAATCCACTGGGATCGTCTGGATCGGCGATTCGGATCGTGAAAATGCTGGAGCACATACAATCGCCGATTGGGAGAAGCCCAAATAGAGTCGCTTCAAAATCTTCTCCCAATCGCGTCCGGAATTGCAATTGGAGAGTCGCGTCTGTCGCGACTCCCAATTTTGATCGGAAACTGCGTTTCTTCTTTTATTTATTCCCAAATTAAATCGGAAACCAGCGTAATATCAGGCTATCAGCCTTATCTTCTATTTATTTGGGAATCCGGACTTTTCCTGCTAATAGACTTCTAATATCCTTCCTTCAGTTTTTTTTCCTTTTTTCTGCTTTTTTCTTCTCCTGCTTGAACTTGTATTATGTTTTATTAAAATTTAATTAAAACATTATAATATATATATATATATATATATATATATATAGTAGGATCTTACGATCCGATTCACGATCTTACGATGTTACGATCTTCATTATGCTTATCGATCCTACGTAGAATTTAGAGTTTGACTACCATGGTTACCTGGGCCTCAAAGATCATACGATTCACCATTAGACCCAGGTAAGCTGACATTGGGCCCTCGGCGGAGCAATGTACCCACGCTGACCGCATCGTCTGTGCAACTTTGGAAAATGATCTTGGGCTCACAAGTCATTTTCTTATATCTCATGGTATGAGACTCCATGGTATTCATAAGGGTGGAGATGGAAAATGAATAGTATCCCTTCGCTTCTGACCAAAAGGAAAAAGAATAAGGGGCTGTTTGTTTCAGTCTCTTAATGGTTCAGATGTCTGAATGGTTTAGCACTTAATGGTTCAGACTGTTTGTTTCAGCCTCTTAATGGTTCAGATGTCTGAATGGTTAAGAGATTTGCCTCTGAATGGTTAAGTATTATACAGAGTCTGAATGGTTAAGACCTCTTATCTGAATTGGTCAGACATTTTCCTCTGAATAGTTAAGCAATATACTAGCTCTTAATGGTTCAGACCTCTTACTGGTTCAGCACTTAATGGTTCAGACCTCTTACTGGTTCAACATTTACCGATTCAGAAGTTGTCAAACAGCCCCTAAATTAGAATAAATAACAGCTTATGTTTTTATTCTCAATGTAAGAGTTATAATATGAATAATGTCACCATATAATACCTTTAAACACTATGAAGTACTAATATACTGTGTTACAATGTCATAGTACAAAGTTTTATTTTGGGGTTAACATGAAATTCGTAGTTTGATATTATTTCTATATTTTTCTTTTATTTTGGGTGATATTTTCTAACCCAACATGTCTAAGACCATCTTCAATCATTCACATCAAACTCAAATCACAACATATTCATTTTATCTCTTCCTTTTATAGTTTACAAAATTAAAAAATAAATACACAAACACAACTATTTGAAAAAGGATAACAACAACAAAAAGAGGAAAAAGAAAACAAATGCAGTACACTCCATTGTTGAGACCATCTTCAGTAGTAGGTACTCAATATATTTAGATTTGGAATTGTATATCTTCCCAGGGTACTTTATTTCTAACGGCAAATGGTTTTTGCAGTATTTCAAATCCAAATATGGGTTGTATTTTGGGATATTTAATTGTTATTTTCTTCCATATATCTTTATTACTTCGTAATAATTTTTTGAATTTTTAACTTACATTATCTGTCTTTTAACTTATTTTTATATTTTACTATAATTTTTTATTTTCAAAATATAAAAAGTAACAAGAAAAAGGATGTAATATGAGTCTATGAAAATATTATTTTGATTTTTGTTTAATATATTGATGATGGATTACTATAATTGGGCATTTAATGCCTTTTGAGTTTAAGTTTGGTGTGAATCATAGTTTTAAAAAACTTGACCACACTGACGGGCTCGGACCATGAACTAGCAAACCGGTGGTCTAACCGCTCCGGTCCAATCATTTGAACTACAATCTGCTTTAAAAAATGCATATCACGTAAATATTTTATTTGAGTGCTTTTTTAATATTGGGTATAGTAACTTGTTTGAAAATACAAAATTACTTCTTATTTTATAAAATTCTTAATATTGCTATTAAATATGTAAATTTTATTTTTGAATATGGTCATTTAACTCAATTAAATTAAATTGATTATAATTTTGGTCAATTTTCATAAATTGCTTACTCCAGGTATTTATAAATGAGGGAGTATAATTTTTATTAGTTATATATAATTTTTTCATACACAAGAACACACACACACAAATATACTTCTAGTGAAATTTGCACTAAATAGGACTAAAACATAAGTCATGTCCCAACGTAGGACTTAAACTTTTTTTATTCCCTAAATAGGACTTAATAATGACTAGCGAGAAGAATAATGTCCAAGTGGTGCTGAACATTTAGTTGATTAATGACCAATAGATAATGACCAATGGTCCTACATTAGGAAATAAAAACATATGGTCCTATATTGGGAAAGTCTTTATGTTTTAGTCTTATATACGTAAATTACCCGAAAAAATATTGAATTTTTATATTAATTTAATATCAATAAATTTATTTTGAAACATAGTTTGAAAATATTCTATTTCTATAATATATAATTATATATAAATAGAAATATCAATGGTCAAAGTGTTGCCTTGGAGACCGTAAAAAATCAAATGAAAAATTAAGATAATGGAGTATATGTGTGTGTGTGTGTGTTTGTGTCTGAACAACTGCTTTAACCACTCAAACTATTGGTGCGACTAATAAACCAGTATCTTGACCGGTTCAGTCTCTGATTTGATTTTCAAACTATGGTGTGAATGTTTGGAGAGGATCTAAAGGTGTATGTGCGTACGGAGAGAAGAGAGAGAGAGCCTGGAAATCCATTTTGAGTTTTTAAAGAGTCCAAATATTGGAATTATGGGTCAAGGGAGAAGCTAAAATTTCAGAATAAAAAATGGTGAGACAGTTTGTCTATTTTAGATGTTAGTGGCACATATTCCACACTCCATCAACATTTACCAGCACCCTACGTAGGCACCTAGGCTGTTTGACGTACACAACTAAGCTCCAACTCCAAGCATCCAAGGGCCAAGAACATACTTAATTTTCATCATTTGTAACTTCTTAGCTATGAAAAATGGGTTATGATGGATTGGTTATAATATTTGAATAGAAATCTTTAACCCCACCCTTACAAATATGAGAGTAGAGTTTTATCTATAAATTTTACTTTCATTCTTACTCCCTCATTCGTTTTCACAAGAGTCTAATGCATAACGAGTAAATTTTAAGCTAGAGACTCTACAAAAGAGACTAGCAAAAGATGACTCAAATAATTCTTAAAACAAAGTTTGGGGGATGTATGGTTAGGTTAGGTTTGATTCAACTAAAGATTTTGGATAATCTTTACCAAAATCTCATATTGACTCAAGATAGATCTCCACACTCACCCGTATTTTCATCATATCCAACTTTTTTTATGTCCGTGATTTAAAAATTCTTCATTTATTTGTTCCCCAATTTACTAATGAAAATAATTATTGCCTTTTGTTTACTTCTAAGAAATTTATGATCTTGTACAATCAAAGCGACCAAATGATTTGGTTTATACACCCTCCCAGCCGAGTTTGTCAACTCGTCCTCCGTTCCTTCGTCGCCTGTAGCAGGTCCACTGGTCGTCAACACTTTGAAGACAACGTCGCATCAGTGACACGGTCGGCTTGACCATCATTCTCTTCATGTTATAAAATTGCTGTTTTCTAAATTAGGTGTCTCTTTCGAGTCTGATGTTTTTCATTGAGATCCTTGTTTTATATATCTCCAAATCGCATAATTTATCTTTTCCATCATCTACTTCTATAACCACTGCACCGTTTCAATTATTACATTAAGATGTTTGGGGTCCTTCTTGCATTCCTTCGTTCGGTGGATATCAGTTTTAAATCAATTTTGTGGATGATTTTATAAAGTTTTTAGATTTACCCTCATAAACATAAATCAAATGTCTTTGTTTCTTTTCAAAGCTTCCACTCCATGGTAAAAAATCAGTTTGGAACAAAAATTAAAATTCTTCGTACTGATAATGCTCATGAATATGTAAATCATAAATATGGTCGTGAGTATGTAAATCATATATTTGGTCTTTTCTTACAGCAATTGGGGGTCCTCCACCACAAATCCTGTGCTTATACACCCTTTAACAGAATAGGGCATCTGAGCGAAAGCATACACATTTATTTGAAACCATCATTACTCTCCTCTACACCTCCTCCTTCAATTCCCTGCCAGGTTGCCACCTTCTCGATTGAGGTCTTAGCCACTCTAACGCCCTAGAAATCGGTATAGTAGTTTATTGCTATTTTTAAAATTAATAAGTATTATTTATTTACGAAAGTAATCCTTAAAAATGATTAAAAGTTACAGTAGGTGTTGTAATTATCATCTGTATGCGATTCGAATCATATGATGGATTGATTTAATAAAAAATAAAGATCGTATCTGATCGGGAAAATTTATTAATGACTGAGATAGATCCAAGGTTAGAAAATATAAAGTTATAAGTATTGACGTTTTAATAAGTCATTATTCATGTTTTGACAATCTGAACTCGGAAACATGAACGGAACTCATTTTAGAGGTATTTGGTAAAAAAAAATATAATTACTCTTTCTCTATGACTAAGTCAACAACAACAACAACAAGAACAATCCAGTTGAATCCCACTACAGTAGGGTCTGGGGATGGTGTGTGTACGCAGACCTTGCCCCTACTCGGAAGTAGGGAGGTTGTTTCCAAGAGACCCCCGGCTCAACCTGCACAAAAAACATGGTAGGGAACACAATATAACTGTAGAAATTTGTAAAACGTTGAATGGTTTTCCATTGAGTATGTACGTCGTATAAATACAAGTAGGTTAACTAGACTACGTTGGGCCAGGCCCGATTACATACAAGGAAATATACATACATGGAAAGAATCTACAAAAATGTAAAGTAAAACTATATATGCTAACACTCCCCCTCAAGTTGGAGCATGGAGATCAGAAATGCCCAACTTGGAGAGCAAGAAAGAAAATATAGGTCTGTTCAGAGCTTTAGTGAACAGATCTGCTAACTGCAATCGTGTAGGGACATAAGCTGTGGTGATCTCTCGGCGATGAACACACTCACGGACAATATGGCAATCAATATCAATGTGCTTCATGCGCTCATGGAAAACAGGATTAGCAGCAATAAACAGAGCAGATTTATTATCACAAAACAATCGGGGCGTTGTGGGTGGAGTAACACCAAGCGCACCAAGAAGGCCCCGAATCCATCGGACCTCTGCACAAGCGTTAGCCATTGCACGATATTCGGCTTCAGCAGAAGAGCGGGACACTGTAGTTTGTTTCTTCGTTTTCCAGGAGACAGGAGAACCACCCAAGTGAATAAAATAACCACTAACAGACCTGCGAGTAAGGGGGCAAGAGGCCCAGTCAGAGTCACAATAAGCAGACAGCTGAAGAGAACTATCACTACGGAGAAGAATTCCCTGCCCGGGGTGCCCCTTTAAATAGCGAAGCACACGCTTGGCTGCATCCATATGATCAAGACGTGGGGCATGCATAAACTGAGAAAGAACATGAACCGAATAAGACAAGTCTGGCCGAGTAATAGTGAGATAGATCAATCGACCCACTAGGCGCCGGTATTGGCCCGGATCCCGTAGCTTGGCGCTAGTAGAACGAGCCAGACCATGGTTCAGTGTGATGGGGGTGTCCGCCGGCTTACACCCCAATAAACCCGCCTCATGAAGAATGTCCAACGCGTATTTGCGTTGGCACAGAACAATCCCCGTGGTTGACCGAGCACACTCAATGCCCAAAAAATAGGACAATGGCCCCAAGTCCTTGAGCCGAAAGCACCTATTCAAATAGGACTTGAAAGAGGCACACAAGGTGGAGTTATTACCTGCAACCAAAATATCATCAACGTAAACCAGAACAACCAGAATATCAGAACCGCAGCGGTGAATAAACAGAGTATGATCAGCATGGGCCTGACGAAACCCGTATCGGCGTAGAGCAGAGGTCAGTTTACCAAACCAATTGCGGGGTGATTGTCGCAAGCCGTATAGAGACTTACGGAGACGACACACCTTTCCCGGATAAAGGTGAGCATACCCGGGTGGCAAGCGCATATACACTTCCTCAATCAAATCACCATGGAGAAAAGCGTTGTTGACGTCAAGCTGGTGCACTTGCCAACCCTTGGCCGCAGCAACAGAAAGCAAAACCCGAACAAAACCCATCAGAAATGAGATTGCACTGTAAATGAGGAACGAGCAAAACGTCCCGAAGGACCACCTCGGCTGAGAGTCGCACGTGGCCACAACGAGTGGCAGTGGTGCGTGTACCATTGGGTAGCGTGATTACGCAAGGTTTCATAGAAACCACATTAGACAAATATGAGATATTACCAGTCATGTGATGAGAAGCGCCGCTATCAATAAGCCACTCACGAGCAGAAGATTCCCCGCTAGGACCAGAAGCCTTTTCAGATGAAGAAGTGTCAAGCATAGAAAGCAGGCGCGTCATTTGATCGGGTGTAAGGCCGAGGGTGTTGGAAGTCGTCGCCGAGTGTGCTCCCCCTGTCGCCGGGCCAGTCCCACGGCCAGGAGCTGCACTGCCACGACCGCCACTCCGTCCTCCTCGATTAGGTGTGCTCCCACGTCCCCGGCCCTTCCCGGGGGGGTACCCATGTATTTGATAACATCTGTCCACCGAATGCCCGTCCTTCCCGGAGTGAGTACACGAGTAATGTGGCGGATCACCACGACCCGCGGGAACAGTGGGGCGCTGCATGGCAAAGGCCACCGCGTCCGTGCGGTCATCCCGACCACGGACAATACTCTTGTGTCGTTCTTCTTGGACAATCAATGCATATGCCCGGTGTATATCCGGAACAGGTTCGGAAGCTATGATCTGAGAACGGATGTGACCAAACTGCTCATCGTCGAGACCAAGTAAAAAATGATGAGTTTTCTCCTGCTCTTCCCGAGCACGGATCAAGGCCGCTGCTTCACAACGACAGCCGCAGGTAGGATCAACGGATCCATACAATTTATTCCACAAAGTCACAAACTGGTTATAATATCCAACCACAGTTTGACCCTTTTGACGCAAGGATTGAAGTTCGGATTTTAATTGATGCACACGAGGACCATTAGATCCCCCATACCGAGTCTTCAAATCCAACCACAATTCATGAGCAATTTTATGAGAAATAATTGACGGTTGGATATGTTCATCAACACTGTTACATATCCAAGAACAAATAATGGAATTATTGGTCTTCCAAGCCGCAAGTTCTTGTTCATCAGTTGGCTTAGGAAACCCAGAAGGAATCAAAAAACCTGCACGACTTCGCCCCTCCAGAGCGTTCACAATAGTTTTCTCCCAAACATCATAATTATCACCCTTAGGAAGATGTTTTGTCAGAGAATTACCCGCGCTTTCCGACGGATGAATGTAATAGGGTGACGTTGGATCGTGGATGAGCCGTACCTTCTTTTCGGCTGCCATGGTGACGTGAGGCACCGGTGATAAATCCGACGTGAGCCGGTGTCGTGGTGATGAGGATCGACGTGACCCGATCGGTGACCGACGTGAGCCGGACGAGGCAGTGCTGGCGACGACACAAACGAAAAAAAAAACGAGCCTAGGGTTTAGACGGATCCCGGGAAATAGGCTCTGATACCATGTAGAAATTTGTAAAACGTTGAATGGTTTTCCATTGAGTATGTACGTCGTATAAATACAAGTAGGTTAACTAGACTACGTTGGGCCAGGCCCGATTACATACAAGGAAATATACATACATGGAAAGAATCTACAAAAATGTAAAGTAAAACTATATATGCTAACAATAACAGGATAACAGGATATTACAGGATAAAGCACCAAGTACAATGAAATGAAAGTCCAGCAAGCAAAAGTAGAAGATTCCAATCAAACACAACACACTAAAAAAACCTCTGCAGCACCGAGCTCCTAACCAGCTACTTTAATCCTAGTCCGCCAAAGGTTCCTATCTAAAGCCATATCCTCAGTCACGGTGAGAAGTCCTAAATCCTGCCTAATCACCTCCTTCCAATTCTTCCTAGGTCTACCCCTTCCCCTACTTCCCCCGATAACCGTGATCCTCTCGCACCTCCGTACAGGGGCATCAGCATCCCGCCGTCTCACATGCCCAAACCATCTCAACCTTGCTTCCCGCAACTTATCTTTCACCGGCGCCATGCCTACCTGACGTCGAATAACTTCGTTCGAAATCCTATCCAACCTTGTCTTCCCACACATCTATCGTAACATCCGCATCTCCGCCGCATGCAGACGACGCACATGAGTCTTCTTAACCGCCCAACACTCTGCCCCGTATAACATAGCAGGTCTGACTACGGATCAGTATAACTTACCTTTATCCTGGGCGAAATCTTTGCGTCACACAACACCCCTGAGGCCAATCGCCATTTGGCCCAAGCCACTCCAACACGATGTCCAACATCTCCGTCTAACTCCCCATCCGCCTGGATTACCGAGCCAAGATATCGGAACCTGTCTACCTTAGGTACTACGTGAGAGTCAATCCTAACTTCCACTTCTGATTCTGTTTCCTGGCCGCTGAAACGACATTCCATGTATTCAGTCTTGTTCCTACTTATTCTGAAACCTTTAGTCTGAAGGGCAAGGCGCCATCGTTCCAACTTATCGTTTAGTCCCTCACGTGTGTCGTCGATAAGCACGATATCATCCGCGAAAAGCATGCACCATGGGACCCCTTCTTGAACACCTTGAGTTGGGACGTCCATCACCAAGGCGAACAAAAAAGGGCTAAGGGCATACCCTGGTGCAACCCCATCCCTACCGAGAATGACTCAGAGTCGCCCCCAGAGGTCCTTACCCTAGTCATAGCCCCATCGTACATATCCTTGATCGCGCGAGTGTACGCGATGGGAACTCTTCTCGTCTCTAGGCACCTCCATAAGACCTCCCTTGGCACCCTATCGTACACCTTCTCAAGATCAATAAACACCATATGAAGGTCCTTCTTCCTAGCCCTATACTCTTCCATTAACCTCCTCACAAGGTGAATGGCCTCTGTAGTCGATCTGCCAGGCATGAAACCAAACTGGTTCTCAGAGATTCATACATCTTTCTGCACCCTATACTCAATGACTCGCTCCAAAACCTTCATGGTGTGGCTAAGGAGTTTGATGCCTCTGTAATTCTCGCAGCTCTGAATGTCACCTTTACATTTAAACAAGGGGACCAAGAAACTCTCCCTCCACTCATCAGGCATCCTTGCTGTCTGAAAGATAAGATTGAATTACAAGTCATAAATCTTAATGTTTGAATTATATGATTTACTAAGTCATAAATCATAATGTTTGAATTATATACTCAAAATTAGGTTGTTGAGTAGAACTCGTGAAAAGATTACTAACGACATATAGTTTGACAAGTTAGACTCATGTGTTAAAATTTATACAAAAAATAGAGGTTACAGTAAAATAAATCAAAGTAAAGATTTTAATAACAAAATAATAAAAATAAAACTAATTAACCATACGCATGCATATATATATATATATATATATATATATATATATATATATATATATATATATATATATATATATATATATATATATATATATATATATATATATATATATATATATATATATATATATATATATATATATATAGGGGTCGGTTCCTGTGAGAATGCACCTTGTCGAGAGAAATGAGAATGAAATCTAGCCGTTGGATCTAATGCATCGTGCGGCTCAGATTCCATCCTGCGCTCTGATTTTGAGATAGTGCATTTTCAAAGGATTATGATGCATTTGACGTGATGCATTTTCAAATCATTTTGTTGCATCTAATTTTGATGCAATCCTGACCCTTAGATTGCACAATCTAAAGAACCAGATTCATTCTCATTTCTCTTCTAAGATCGTATTCTCACCAGAACCAAAATCTATATATATATATATATATATATATATATATATATATATAAATGAACTATCATAATTTAATGTATTGTTTATAATTTATAATAAAAATTTTTGAACCTTTACCATGAAAAAATGAAAATCAAACGAGAAAGAATATGACGAGGGAGTATTCCGTAATCAAATAAGACCAACGTACTCCAAAATACTACTCCGTATAAATCCAGCCCAAAGACAGATACCGAGTGACTGTTGATTGCGTAGAACAAAGGCCCATTAAAAGCACGATCCGCGGTATTGATTTGACACTTACACATGTGAGTGTTTCACATTATTTTTATTAACTCCTTTCACCTCTTAACAATGTTTCACAAACCAGTGTTTTTTTTATTTTCCCAAAATAATTTTTTCCCCTAAATTATTAGGTAAGTTTATTCTGAATGGCTCATTTATCTTAGGTAAGTTTTTTTAAAAAATAATATTCTATTTCAATTCCTAATACATATATTATTTCTAATATCTGATTCGGCTAAAAGTGTTAGGACAACATTACTCACTTTGTCCCTAAAATATGTCATTGTGCACTATTCCAGAATTACGTAACTATATCAAATATTTTACAAAACAAGTTGTGACAAGGTTAAGTGATAATTGGTGTAAAATTAAAAAATAAAAATTATAAATTACAAAATTAAATAAAAAAATTCTACAAAGCTAGTTGTGAGAAACAAATAATCGATGAAAATATATATTAAAAAAAGTGAAATTAGATTAACCTGTAAATAATAGTTAGAAATTTTTTTTAACGAGGGGAGTATACATCCTAGCTAATTTTACATTTATATATTTAAATAAAAAAATTTGAGTATAATCAAATATCATAAATAAACCGTGTGGAAAAAAAGTTAATGCCAGAGAAGGAGTATATGCCTTATTAGGGCAAAGTAAAAAAAAAGGGAGCGGCGGCAGGATCCACCGGGCACGGAGGCCGCCGTGCCGAAATGTCGTAAAGAGATGTGTAAGTTTCCGGCTTTACGACTCTGAGGTGCACGTGTTGCCGTGGATTCCACGCCAAGTGTGCCATGTGCCGCCGCACCCCACGCTAGGACTAGTTTTACCTGAATTATTATTAATTAACCATTTGAACGAGCCCCACTAATGGTAATGATGTTATTTGGACTCTCTTGTCGGAATAAATACCTCTACTTCCCTACTTAATCCATTTCTTTCCTCATTTTTTATTACGGAGTATTTGTTTGTACAAGGGATATGCTTGGTACACCAAAAAGTGTACCCCAAATTTACACCACCTCACTCTTTACCATTTATTTTATTTTGTTTTTATTTTTATTTTTTTTTTTGAAATTTTCTAGCTTTTTTTGTGGTGATGGAAGGGCCGGGGTGGGAGATGTTTGGGGTACACTTTTGGTGTACCCCTAGCATTTTCCTTTGTGTGAGCATAAACTTTTTTTGGGAATAGAATCGGATTGTGTTTATCAATAAGAGATTTGACAGTAAGAGATGTGACAAGACTGCATTATTTTATGAAATGAGTTATAAAAATAAGTAAATAAAGTGAGTTATGTTTAACCATGTAAATAATATCTTAGAAGATCATATCTATGAGAGATAGAGTGAAACAAACTAAATATGAAAAAACTGGAGGTATAAAGTAAAATTATTTTTCCTCTTGATGTTTGGATATACTTCCTATGTCCTAAATTAGATTATAATCTTTGCATTGCAATTTGCAAAGTAATGTCCAATGCATTTTGAAATAAATTTATTTAAAAATTGGTATAAGAATGAAAAATAAAGCTAACGTACATATTGAAATATTACCTCAAAAATTTTATAAAAGAAGAAGTGACATGAATGAATTCTTTATTTTGTCAAATAATTAATTGAAGGGCAAAATGGGCATAAAACTCCCCCGTTCATTTTGTTGTGCAAAATGAGCCAAACTTAAAAACTTACTAGTTTTATTTTGTTGCGCAAAACTGGTTGTTTTCGTTAACTTGTCGCTAGTAACTTAACAGTGATCCAAAATTCGCTAGTTTCATTAAAATTGGGATTATTATGCATCACAATGAAATGTGAAATTATTTTTTAAAGACCGATTAAAAGTGAGATTATTCCGAATAATTTTTTTAAAAAAATTAAGAAGGTAATCCGTAATTATCACGAAAATGGAGTAATCCATTATTTAAATAATTATAAAGACATGATGCCAGATATATTCGGATCCATGTCACTTTGTCGCATGGATTATTTATCCAAGAAGTAATAACCGAATATCGATAAATTGATACTCAAAACTTTACTCTATTTTTTTAATTCTAAATGAAATTTTAACTTATAATTACTTCTAACTTTAAAAAAACATTTTCAGTTTTTTCAACAATTTTTACTTCCCCCCTGACTCTTATCATTGAATTGTATGAACTAAATTTATGTAAGTGAAATTTGCAATGTTTGAATAGTTATTTGTTTTCTCAGCTTAAAAAATCTTGATTTATATTGAAATTATTGATGTTTAACTATTATTGTACTAATACATATTGTCAAAAAAATTATTTTACTGATACATATTTCACCATTTTAAAATATATTCTCTTTGTTTCGGAAATACTTTCTTGTTGTGGACTAATTATGATACTCCATCCGTTCTATAAAAGTGTTCCTATTTTGACTTTGTGTAAAAATAAGGAAGTGTTAAATTGTAGTTGACTTCTAATTTTGCCCTTGATGTGATGGGTAAAAGTAAGATGTGATGGATTGAGTATTAGAGAAAAAGTATGATGTGATAGGTAGGGTATAAAAAAATAAGAGTAAAAATGGTTTTTTAATAGAAAGTGGAAGTGTTTTGTTGAAATTAAAAAAAATGAAAGAAAAAGAGTTTTTGAGAACGGATGGAGTATTTGATTAAAATTATTTTTTAATTCAATTTATACAAAAGTAGAGCATAATATAACTTACATATTTAAAATCAAACTACATCAAACGTCTTATAAATAAATAAGAGGTTAGAATACTACGAGTACTATTTTTTCAAAGAAGTAAATAAAATATGCAAAGCAAGTGGTCAAAATTATTTGACCCTATAAATAGTCAAAAAATTATTTTGAGACAACTTTCGTCCAAAATATTTGTCTACTTTTTAATTTTTATAGTCAATTAGAATTGACCTTTGGCATATAATTAATTAAAAATTACATACATGGCATATTAATTAGATATATATTAATATTTTGAAAATATTTTACAAGATAAATCTGATAAAGTTATTCTAATAAATCTGTAAATTATAGAATTTGAAAAAAGTTATACCATTATTACCTATAGAATATATTTTTTCTACTACATAAATGATAATAATTTAAGAATAATAATTATAATAAATTAAAACATTAGACTACCACACAAAAAGTAGTTTACGTAGTATTTTTTCTACGTACTACACTAAAGTTAAAATAAAATTTTATAAAAAAGTGAAAAAATTTAATTTTCACACGAACTCACGCGAAACACATTTTAATATTAGCTATTTCATCCGTCTCAAAAAAAAGTTCTTGTTTCATTTTTTGCGTGTCTCGTAAAATACTTTTACCCACATATAAAATGTCTAAAATTTATCACATTTTTCTTTTATTGTGGGTAGAAATTATTTTGAAAGTTTTTTGGACATTTGAGGCGAGATAGAAGTTTTTTACGGGATATACAAAAAATGTAACAGGAACATCTTTTAGGGACGGAGGGGTAGTTATTTTTAAAATCTTAACTTTGAACTATAGTTAAAATTAAAATGAACTTTAAGTTCTAAACATATGAGTATATGACATTTGTTCACCTTCAAGTTTTAATGTGGATGTATGTCTTCATAAACCTTTGTTTTCTTTTTGGTACAATAATCACATTGTTCTTGAAGAGATAAATCATTATTCCTCTAGTCTCAATTTAAATATTAATTTTCCTCTTTTGATTTTTTAAAGTCTCCAATGGTACACTTTGACCATTAATATTGATATTTACACGTACATATATTTAATAAAATTTCTGTATATCAAAACTACATATATTTCAAAAGAAACTATTGATATTACATTTATATCGAAATGCAATGTATTATTTCTGTATGTCGAAGTCAAAATTTACAAACTTTGATAAAATACTCCCTTCGTCCCTAAATATTTGCCACACTTGTATTCCCGAGACAAAATATTAAGTTTCAATTCATTTTATTTACATATTGGTATAGAAATAAAAAATAAAGTTTACATATCAAAAAACTACATGAAAAGTTCTTCGAAATAAGAGGTGTCAAGAATATTTTATTTTATCAAATAACCAATGAAAACGTAGAAATAAATAAAAGTTCCCGCGACTGCTGAAAAAGTAAACGTTGCAAATAATTTGGGACGGAGGGAGTAATCAAATTAGAAGATTAATTAAAAAGATAGAGTATTTGCTAATGACGGCTTGAGTATAATTGTGATTTGGGAAAATGATGAATTAGGCTAATAGGTTGACAGATGACAGGTAAAGTCGTTGCATGTGAGGAAGAGAGAGGAAATGACAGATGAGTCATGTAATGGTCTCTGCTTATTGGAACCGTTTGCCTTAAGCTCTTGCTAAAAATCAAACCTCTGATCAATGACTGCTTTACCCCTATCTCTTCATACTTAATTATGCTCTGTATTACTTCTTATCAGATTGTCATTTAATTTGTTGGATTAATTTCTACAAATTAGGCATTAACTCGTGGTCAACATTGATACAATTTGATAATAATTGGTCTTATTAAATAATGAAAGATACATCTCTATATATAGGAATTACAAGAGAGAGTTTTAATCTAAGTAAGAGAAAAACTATAGTAACAATATAATAAAGGTAATGAATAATAATAAATATTTCCTAATACACTTATTTTTCTAATATCTCATGCAAGCTAATCATCGATAACAAGGAGCAGTTTGGAGCACATGTACTAGAATTGAGCTGGCACAAGTAGTTTTGTGAGGATAACCTCTAGAAGTAGAGAGACAGATCTTCGTTGCATGACGAACGAGCTTGAAATTACGTTTGCTAAGTTTTTTCATGGTGAGAGTGTTGACGATTGGAATGAGGGCGATGAGTTCCTTTTTTTCTCCTTGTGGCTGTTCTCTGCTTCTCTATCGCTTTCCATACTCTTGATCTCTAGAAAAAATACAGAAAAATGATATTTTTCCGTTCTTCGATCAGACACATAATTATTTTGGAAGAGAGAAATAATGGATTTTTTTGGGGAAAAATTGAGAGATAATTGTTTTTTTTGAGAGGAAGAGCGAGATAATGGATGACGGTTGTTAGGCACACTCGCCGACACCTGTCGGTGACGCTATACTGTCAGACAATCGAGTGCCGTAAACAGAGACCGATGATGTGCTCGGTCTTTAAGAAGAGTCTATGTTTTAGAAAATTAAACCTTAGCTCCAATACCATGATACAGTTTGATAATAACTGGTCTTATTGAATAATGAAGGATACAACCATATATATATATATATAGTATTCAGATATAGATTCAATTTTTTTAAATACAAATCAGTACAAATGAATACGAATTACAAATCGAATCAAAATTATTTGGTTAGTTCATTTACAAGAGTTTAATGCATCGTTCCCCCCTGTGATTTCCTAAATGTTCACCGGTGCCCCCTCTACTTCTAAAACTTACTCCATCCCCCCCACTGGTTCTAAAATCCTACTCCATTGCCCCCTCCGTTTCTAAATCCGTAAATTTTAACGGAGCGTGAAGGAAAGCATTTGATATGCGTTTGGTAGAGTATTTTGTCAGCTTTATGGCACCATTCCCCCCTGTGGTTTGCTAAATGTTCACTAGTGCCCCTCTGGTTCAAAAAAATTACTCCATGTACATGAAAATTTGAGTGTGCACCATCTGCCATCTTTTTAAGAAAGCTAATAGTATTTAAAATGAAAAAATCATAAAGAGTCTCCATTCTGTAAATGAAAAAAAATTAAAATATCATCATAGTTTGAGTTT